CCCGGCCTGCCATAGGCCGGAGGCCACCAGCGCCGGCCGACCTCCCACTGCGGGGGCGTGGCCAGACAAGACCGCTAGGGGGCCTGTGGAGTGAGGAGATGAGGAGCTCCCATTCCCCCGCAAAAGACAAAGACTACGCGTGAAGCAGAAAATCCGAGGACTTTATTTCCGGTCACCACCCCTCCTCCTCGCTCAAAAAGTGATATAAAAGAATAGAAACGAAAAAAAATCAGACCATGAGATTAGCAACTAGTCCTCCTCCCCCGGAATCACTCCCAAATCAGGATACACGATTGCCGTTTATCCCCGGCTTCTCTTGCTACCCACTCTGCCTAGGGCTCTGGTCTTCCCTGAAGACTCCACCAACAGGTGGGAGAGAGGGAGGCAAACCTTGAAGTCTGTGTGTGGCAGCTTGGTCCTCTGTGAACAGGTGGGGTGGGGGACTTGGGGTAGGCTGCCATCACCCCTCTCTCTTCCAACCTTCTTCATGGTCCCACTTAGCCCCCAAACCCAACACCATGGTCCCTCTAGGCTCTCAGTCTCACCTCTACAGTCCCTGTAAGACTGTCAAATCTTGATGGCCTTCAAGCCAAAGTCACCACTTCCCTAAGATACAACTCCTACCTTTGGTAGATGTTCTGGGCCAGGGCCCCCAACCTCCAGAGCCCCCTGATGGGCTTAGAGGCTAGAGGTTTGGGGCTGGGGTGGGGGTGGTTTACCCCACCACTCACTCCAGGTGGGCAATTAGCACCATCATGACAACTCCCCCCAGCAGCCCCAGCACCTCCAGAAGTGACTGCAATGGTGATGCCTCCCTCAACAGCTCAGGCAACACGGACACCGTTGCTACGTAGATAAAGCCACCTGCAGTGAATGGCAGAACCCAGCCAGGACCTGTACCGCCTGCAACTTCACTGCCCACTGCCCCTCCTTCAGTTAGGAGAGCACAAGCTGTGCCTGCCAGTGCCCCTACTGCCGTCAGTAGTTGTAGACGCATCGCCTGGTGGGCAGAAAAGAGAGAGAGAGGCACTCACCAACATCTAAAGGTTATCAGAAGTTTAGACATGGCTGGAGGAGTATAGGTGTACATGGATAGGGTGCATATCTTTGGAAACTAAAGAATAAAACACAAAGGGGGGGGGTCTAAAAGAGATACTTTCCAGAAAATCGTAGCTATCAAAGAGGTCCTTTCTACAGACCTTCTGACTCAGCAGGTCAGGGTAGAAGGCGTGGTGTGAAAGACCCCCATAAACCATTCAGATTGCTTATGGACCACAGTTCAAGAATTACTGAGCTACAAGAAAAATTAACAGAACATCTTCCCCCTCATTTCTAGAGAATCTGTTGTTAACAATATTAGGCATACTTCGGAGATGTTGTTGAGTTTAGTTCCAGACCACCACAATAAAGCAAATACTGCAATAAAGCAAGATGCATGGATTGTTTGGTTTCATAGTCCATGTAAAAGTTATATTTACACTATGCTGCAGTCTACTGAGTGTGCAGTAGCATTATGTCTACAATGTACATAGTTTAATTAAAAAATACATTATCACTGAAAAATTATAAAACATCATCTGAGCCTTCAGTGAATTGTAATCTTTTTGCTATAGTAACACCAAAGATCACTTTTCACAGATAAATGTAACAAATATAGTAATAATGAAAAAGTTTGAAATGTTGTGAGAATTACCAAACTGTGACAAAAAGAGACATAAAGTGAGCAAATGCTGTTGGAAAAATGGTGCCAATAGATGTGCTCAATGCAGGGTTGCCACAAATTTGCAAAAACATGCAGTATCTGTGGAGTTCAATAAAGAAATGCAATAAAATGAGGAATGCCTGTAGTACAACTTGTTTGGAACTAGTGGGTGGGAGTCTTGGGTTTGAGGTAGGTGAGCAAGGGGTAAAAGGTTTGAGGCAATCAATTTGGTGCAAATCATCACCAACCTGCTTTTTGCTGCAGCCAGACTGGACCAAGATGGCAAAGTCCCCAACTTCATGGGGCACTTCATGTAGCAGGACAGTCATCGTGGTCAGGATTCCCAGCCCCCGGCCCCCTCGAAATGAAGCACCAATGGCCAGACCATCTGTGAAGTTGTGTGCCAGGTCAGCAGCCAGATTCAGGTACCCTGACACACGCAGGTCTTGTACAGGAGAAAAGGAAGACAAAGCATTATCATATCTCCCTGCAGAGACCACTTCTCATGCAGTCCCTCAGTGTTTCCTAGACACCTGCCATCACCCACAGTGCTAGTCCCTGTGATTCGTGATGATGCTCTTGCCCAAGCATATCACCAACCTTGGCCCTCACCTGAACCTGCTTTTTCCTCTTCCGAATTCTGAGGTCTCACTGGTCCATCTTTAGGCCTTGTGCCCCCTCCTCGCCTCTTCCTTGACCCCCCTGCTTCCTTTTCTTCTTCCTCTGAGCTCTGCTTATCCTTTGAAGGATGCTCTGAAGAAAGAAAGGAGATGGTAAGAGTAGGGAACAGAGATCACCCTATGTGTCCTCTAAAGGGTAGTCCTCTCCCACCTAAGTACCATAAAATAAGGGGATTCAGAGGTAGGCAAGGTGGCTTTCAGGAAAGTTGTTACTGGGCTCACCCTGTCTTCCACGTCCATGACTTCCATGTGTGTGACCGTGAGTGTGTCCGTGAGAGTGTCCATGTCCATGACTGTGTCCATGACCTCCTTTCACATGTCTCACAAATTTCTCCACCACAAGAAAGGCGACAATTCCACTAAGGACCCACAGTCCCACAGACAGAATAGGGCCCTGGCCTGGGAATGGACGCATTGAGACATTGAGATGTGGATTCCAGACTTTTCCTCCCCAAGTGCAGAAGAAGAATAGGGAGGGATAACCTTCCCCAGCACCCCAAACCATGTCTCCATCTGCCCCTTCCTCACCACTGTGGGAGTGTCCATGTCCCGGCTGCTCCAGACGGTGGTGAGAATGGGGTTCTGGAGAAAGGGGAAGAAAAGGCCAGATGAAGGAATACATCATCCAAGAGGTGTATATTTGGGGGAATATTGTAAGGTCAGGGATCACAAAGGGATAAGAACCCTCTTGTCCAAAGAATAAAATACATTAAGATTTGAGGTAGAAGCTAGAGGTCACTTACCCAGAGCATGAGGGATGAGGTGCAGGAAGGCATCTCCCAGGAGCCCACCCGAAGCAAAACTCAGCAAGATCTGGAGCAGAGAGCGGTGCCGAGGGGAGTTTGACTCCACAGGGATAAGGAAGAGGACGAAATATGGAGCTGCAGAGATCAGTACTGTGGCCCCCAGTGCCTGGCGAGGGACAGTCAGGGGTCAAGAGGTGTGGGGTTTCCCGACAATCCAGAACCAGCTCCCTCTTTCCCATCCCCGGGGGACTCACATAGGCCCAGAGAGTGACAGTGTCCAGATCCTGCTTGATTCCCGGAGCCGCAGACTCCCCATAGCCTCCAGAGCTGTGCTCATGGTCATGTCCGTGTCCTCCATGGTAGAGGCTTTCATGGGAGTGGCCATAACTATGGCCATGGTGCAAATCCTCATGTGAATGTTCATGGTCGTGACCGTGGGTATGTCCATGCCAGATGCTCTCATGAGTGTGGCCATGGCCATGGGCATGGCTGTGTCCATGGTGGAAATCCTCATGTGAGTGCCTGTGGCTGTGGCCATGGAAGTCCTCGTGCAGGTCTTCGTACAGGTCGCCATGACCCCCGTGTCCGGCCACTAGCAGCCCCAAGGCGGCCCAGGTCAGCAGTCCCACGGCCACCCAGTGAGGGGCCCCCAGGCCTCTGGCCATCACGCTGACCAGAGGGACAGAGACAGTGACTCCACTTGACCCTCAACTCTATATACCTATGCGGGTTCCACTTCACTCCGCTCGCGCCCTCCATCCACGTCTATGGGCTGCTCCCCCATTCCATTCTGTCCCCACCCACATTGTTCCCAAGACTCGTTTTCTTTATCCTCATCCCCTTCTAGCATGTAGGGCCCCCGGGACACTGCTCTAGGCTTTGATCCGCCACTTTATAGACTCTCTAGGCCCTCGTCTCTATGACCCACTAGGTGAGGAAAAAGGCCTGGAAAGGACCGTAAGGAAAAAGAGAGAATTCTCACCGGCTCCGGGATCCTCTCCTGTCCCGGTTTGCTCGGACGTGGCAGTCCCACCTCTAGCTCCCGCGAGAATAGGAAGTTCCGTTCTACTTCGGTCCCAGTACCTTTACCAATATGGCGGCACTCGGTTAGCGATGGAGCCGTCCTGCCCTGGTGCGCATGCGCCGGTGTGGAGGTTATTTGAGGGGATGCTGGGCGAGGCGGGTTAACAGGCGGGAGGAAACTGCCTCCTCCGTTTCCAACTAGACGAGGGGGCGGGAACTAGTGCGGAGACTTCCCGTCTATACCAAGATGGCTGCCACATTGGCGCTGTCATTTTGGTACAGAGCAGAGCGAAGCGCTTAATTCGACCCGGTTCAGGCCAGAGTCTTTTTCTCTGCGGCTTCCTCGTGCTCAGCTAGTCCCCTGACCAATCCCTGGGAATCCCTGGTACCTCTTCGCTATACCTACACAGAGCCAGGAATCATGTCTTGGGCTGCTCGCCCGCCCTTCCTCCCCCAGCGGCATGCCGCAGGGCAGTGTGGGCCGGTGGGGGTGCGAAAAGAAATGCATTGTGGGGTCGCGTCCCGGTGGCGGCGGCGACGGCCCTGGCTGGATCCCGCAGCAGCGGCGGCGGCGGCGGCGGCGGCGGCGGCAGCCGGAGAACAACAAACCCCGGAGCCGGAGCCGGGGGAGGCTGGACGGGACGGGATGGGCGACAGCGGGCGGGGTGAGTGTCCTAGCGGACGGACAAGCGAGCCAGTGACCGCGTTATCAGAACCCCTCCCCCCCTCCCCTTCGGCGCTCTTTCCCAGGCACTCCCGCCCCCTTGTTTGTAAACATGCGTCCCCTCCCTCCCGAGGGCCTTAGCGCCCTCCCCCCGGGGCGGGGCGGGGATGGGAGGGGGAGTTTCCGCCCTGCTGACTGTGGCCGCCTGAGGCCCTGCACTCAGGAGATCCCAGGCGTGGGACACTAGTCTTCGAGATTGAGGACTGGACATTTGAAGGCAAATTCTGCGTCCTAGGAGGGGTCTCTTCCGCCTGTCTCTTTTCCCTGCACGTTCTGGCTACTAGCTGGGAATGGAGGGGCTGACTGGTCCACCCCACGTGCTGCCCCACCCACACGAGATGCTCTGGTTTGGGGAGACCAAATGCATTGCTTGGAATTTTGCCTCACCTGAACTATTTTCCTCTCCTTTGTCAACCGCTTCCTCTCACCATAATTAGGAATTAAGTCGTTGTTTGACAACAGGGTGTCTCTGGACTTGGGAAGGGGTGAGGTGCGATGGGGGCGCGGTGAGGGATCAGAGAATTTTGTGTACGGTTGGATGATGGAAGACTCATTTTCTCTTTTTGTCTCTCCTGTCTTTGTCTGTGCCTGTGTGTACCCCTCCCTCAGATACTCGAAGCCCAGACAGTTCCTCCCCAAATACCCTTCCGCAGGGGGCCACTACCCCTTCTCCTCCTGGGCCGCCCCTACCCGCTTCAGCAGCTGCATCCCTTGGAGGCTCTGGAGCCCCACCCCCACCCCCGATGCCACCCCCACCACTGGGCTCCCCCTTCCCAGTTATCAGTTCTTCCATGGGGTCCCCCGGTCTGCCCCCTCCAGCTCCTCCAGGATTCTCCGGGCCTGTCAGCAGTCCCCAGGTGAGAGGTTGTGACCCACTTATTGCCTGTCCACTTTCATTTCCTTGTTTTCCTTGTGACCCCAGATCCTTGTGTGAACTTCCTCATGGCCCACTGACCTTCTAGTCCTCTAGTCCCAGCAGATCTGCGGTCCTTGTGAGACCCCTTGCCCTTCCTGAGGTGGCTGATCTTTCACTGCATACCTCCTCCCCAGCCCTGTAAAAAGAACCCCAGCTGTTCTTGATGTGCTTTTCATCTATCAGTGATTTTTTTTTTTGCCCTTTTTGTCCCATCTGCCCTTCTGAGATACAAGCCCTTCAGGGCCACTGTGTTGCACAGTTTCAGGGGGAACTTTCTATCATTTCTTTGGGGCTGTACTCTAGGGGTGGCCCTTCATGTGCACTGCAGAATAAATAGTATCCTTTGTAATATGCAATGCAGGGCCCTACCTAGGTGGTAGGGAGTGATTTCCATCACCTCTGAGAAATTATCCTTCCCAATGAGTCTCCCTGTGACTTCCCTATTTCCCCCATCCCAGATTAACTCAACAGTGTCGCTCCCTGGGGGTGGGTCTGGCCCCCCTGAAGATGTGAAGCCACCAGTCTTAGGGGTCCGGGGCCTGCACTGTCCACCCCCTCCAGGTGGCCCTGGGGCTGGCAAACGGCTATGTGCAATCTGCGGGGACCGAAGCTCAGGTATGGGGCTCAGGACCAGCAGAGAGGAAAAAGGAGAGTGTGCCATTTACCTTTGCTGGTGGGATTCCCAGGGGCTCATGAGGTTGCCTTAGACCAAGTGAGCTGGGGGAGGCCTGATGAAGTTAAGGAACCTGCAGCACATATTTGGGATGGGGGTGGTCAGAGGGAGGAGGGGGCTGGTACAGGCTTTTTGAACAGTGAGAAGAGTGGGACTGGATCATCCATCATGTCCTAGTTCCCGGTCTCTTTGGTAAACACAGGATAGACTTAAACTACATCTGCCGGGGGGAGGTTGGCAAGAGTCATAGTAGCACAGAGTCTCCGAGCTGTCTTACTGCTCCTCCTCCCTTCTCATAGGCAAACACTATGGGGTTTACAGCTGTGAGGGCTGCAAAGGCTTCTTCAAGCGCACCATCCGTAAGGACCTGACCTACTCATGCCGGGACAACAAAGACTGCACGGTGGACAAGCGCCAGCGGAACCGCTGTCAGTACTGCCGCTATCAAAAGTGCCTGGCCACTGGCATGAAGAGGGAGGGTAAGGACCTGCCCCATCCAGGCCTCCCAGTCTGCCCTGTGGGAGAAGTGGGAGGAGGTGGAGGGAAGACTGCAGGAAAGCACAAGACTGTACCTCTCAGGAAGGCTGGACTGTTCTCTCTCTCCTCCAGAGGGCGATGTTTGATTTCCCTCTCCCCTGCTCATCAGCTCTTCTTCCCATACCCTGATCTGGTCCCTTGAGTTTCCTTCTTAATGGTTCTGCCTCTGTGGCCTGCACCTAAGACCTCTCCCTGTTCTGGTGCTAGGGTAGGATAACTTTTCCTTCCCCATGATGGGTTTCTCTAGCTCCCCTTCTCTCACCTGAATAGTTCTTCCTTTCTCTGACCCAGTGCTTCCACTCTGGTCTCCAGCTCCCTGTTATCAGTGTTCCCTTCTCTCTAGGACTCTACCCTCTTAAGCTACAGCCTTTACTGAAGACCTCAGAGCTTCTTTCCCTCTTTTTAAAAAAAAATCTCTATTTTATCTTAAACCTGATTCTGGAATTCTGAGAGAGACACTTAAAGGAGTATATTTTGGTCACATCCCTCATTTTAGAGAAGGTGAGCCTGAGGCCTTTCCCAAGGGCATGCAATAAAAGAGTGGCAGGTCTGGGATCAGAACCCACATCCCAAAGATCCAGGCCAGTGCTCCTTTTCCTGCCTCTTTGTTGAGGCAGAAGAGCACCAGATTTGTGGTCAGGCACACTTAAATTTAGTTGTATGACTTGCCTTGTATTGTGTGAGCTTGGGAAAGCTGTTTAATAAATTGCCCCAAATTCATTATCTTTAAAAATAAGGACAAGAGCTCACAGGGTTGTTACAATAATTGAGTGAATGTTAAAGTGTGCTTGGCATGTTTCTTTGTGTGTAGTAGGCTCTCAGTTTGAATGTTAGCTTTCTCTCTAACTCCTTTACTCACCCTTTTACTTCTCCTTCTTGATTTATTTATCTGTCCTTTTATAACTCCTGCTCCTAGAGTGCCCCCAGTCTGCAGTTGTTTCAAGTGGCTTCCCCAATTTCTATAAATATCTCCTAAGGGCTCTGAGACCCTGATAAAGCCCTAAGGACATTTTGGAATCCCCTCATGGCTGGCTGCTGACTTTCCACTTTTTTCTCCTTTCTCCTTCCCCCCCCCAGCGGTACGAGGAGGAGCGTCAGCGGGGGAAGGACAAAGATGGGGATGGGGAGGGGGCTGGGGGAGCCCCTGAGGAGATGCCGGTGGACAGGATCCTGGAGGCAGAGCTTGCTGTGGAGCAGAAGAGTGACCAGGGCGTTGAGGGTCCTGGGGGAACCGGGGGTGGCGGCAGCAGCGTGAGTGATGGGGTCAATCAACTCTTCTTCCTGATGGCGGGTGGCGGGGGTTGAGTGGGAGTCTAGGTCCGTTCTGTCTCCCCCTGCCTTCCCCTCACAACCCACCTAACACTGCCTGGGACTGGAGGTGCTGCCAAACAAGGTCTCAAACATCTGAGGTGGGTGTGATAGTATTCTCTGTCCCCACTCCCAAAACAACCCACTGGCAGAACCACAGGCAAGTGCTGAATAATTGTTTTCATGAATGCCAAAAGAGAAGGAATTGGTTCAGTTGGGGGCTTGAAGAGAAACTGCAAATAAGGAAAGGTGTCAAAAGCCTCTTACGAGGGTGGCTCCCAGTGTACTTCCAAACCTTCTGTAACTCTTACCCCCCACCCCCTGCAGCCAAATGACCCAGTGACTAACATCTGTCAGGCAGCTGACAAGCAGCTATTCACGCTTGTTGAGTGGGCGAAGAGGATCCCACACTTTTCCTCCTTGCCGCTGGATGACCAGGTCATACTGCTACGGGCAGGTCAGTGACCTTGGATCCTTTTGACCCCTTGTCATTTGACCTCTCTTGGACCTCTCCTTTGATATGCTTTGAATCCCATCGCCTGATCCCTGGCTCCTGACCCCTGCTGCCCCCCACTCAGGCTGGAACGAGCTCCTCATTGCCTCCTTCTCTCACCGATCCATTGATGTCCGAGATGGCATCCTCCTCGCCACAGGTCTTCACGTACACCGCAACTCAGCCCATTCCGCAGGCGTGGGAGCCATCTTTGACCGGTCAGTGGCCCTCGGCTGGGCTGGCCTGTAGGAAGAAGGGGTGGGGCTATAGGCTGGTCCGTGTCCAAGGCTGGCTGAGCTGTGACCTTTGAGTGACCTGCAGGTCCCTCTCCAGGGTGCTGACAGAGCTAGTGTCCAAAATGCGTGACATGAGGATGGACAAGACAGAACTTGGCTGCCTGAGGGCAATCATTCTGTTCAACCCAGGTAAGAGGAGGATTACCCCTGTCTCTCAAGAGAAGGCAACCTTGGAGCCTCCTCTTCTTCGGAGACTCCTCTAAGTTACTCAGCTGTCCCCCTCAGTAAGATCCTCAACCTGGAAATCTCCCAGGTGACCAAGAAAAACCCACATCCACTGATAATGTTCCCCTTCTGACCCCATTCCACAAACCCCATGTGCCCTGCTTCCCTTGCCAGGCATCTGGTGAAGGGCATGTAGGTGGGGCCCAAAAGGGACATGGTGTGGGCCACATCTCCGTGTTTGTCCTGATTTCATTTGTCTTTCTTCCTGTTCCTCCTCTCTCCCCTGCCATCTCAGATGCCAAGGGCCTCTCCAACCCCAGTGAGGTAGAGGTCCTGCGGGAGAAAGTGTATGCATCACTGGAAACCTACTGCAAACAGAAGTACCCTGAGCAGCAGGGACGGTGAGAAGGAGCTGTGGGCCTGAGGGGTTGTAGGAACTGAAGCTCCCCCCGGGGTCGGGGGTGGGGTGCCACGAGGGTGTGTTCAGGGCCTGTTTGGCTCCAGCTGTCATTCTGCTTCTCCCACCCCCACCTCAGGTTTGCCAAGCTGCTGCTGCGTCTTCCTGCTCTCAGGTCCATAGGCCTTAAGTGTCTAGAGCATCTGTTTTTCTTCAAGCTCATTGGTGACACCCCCATTGACACCTTCCTCATGGAGATGCTTGAGGCTCCCCACCAGCTGGCCTGAGCCCACACCCAAAGGTGGTGCTCCTCAAGCTTGAGGAGGGCACGTCAGAGAGGGACTCCGAGCCTCGGGCAGGGTTGGGAGGGGCCATGTTCCTAGAATTTTGGAGGGGTGAGGAGTTCAGGGCAGAACTGAGACCTCCAAGAGGGGGGGGGTCCCTAAACCCTCCGAGGGTTTGCCTGATATCCCGTCAGAGGGGACCCCAGATCACTGCAAGGGCTGGACCTCTCCCTTCAGTAGCCTTGAGTCTCTGAACTTGTGTGGGTCTGCCATGGTTTGGGGTGCTTTCTCACCCCCTGGCTGGAGGGACCTCTCCTTCCCCCAGCACAAAGCACTGGCCTTGCTCCCAGGACCTTGCTTCCTTCTCATCTTGTCTCACTTAGTCCCCCATCTGAAGAGTGGAAATGGGAACTTCTCCAGAGATGGATATTAGGGGGCAGGCCCCCCAAACTGATGGACATGGGAGTTAGGCTCTGACAGGCCTTCCTCTAACCAAGCCTGGCAGATGGAGCTACTCTGAGAGAAGGAGGGGGCCCTGTCGCTGTCTCCTGTTGAGTGCCCTCTCCCACTTCACCTCCTGCAGTCAGACTGAAAAATAAGAAGGTGGTGGTGGTTAAGGGCTGGGTGGAGTTGTAGGAATCCATCTGCTATTTTTAATTTTCTTTAAGGATAGAGACTTGCAGTTAGACTCAAAGAAGTACTGTACTTTCCTAGGTTGACTAAGAAATGCCAGTGGTGGAGGTGGTGTTTGGGAAAGGCAGGGCTCTGAGATGGTCTGTCTTGGGCTCCTCAGGCACTGGCCTTCCCAACGCCCTCCCCCCAACTCTTCCTGTCAAACTTGGGGACGGGGTCTGGGCTGTGATGACAGGGCAGGGGGTGGTTTGGTGAGTAGTCCTCGGGCTCTTCCCTTCACAGCTCTCCCCCTAGCCCTGGACACACACACAGTAGGTTGGGGACACAGGATCCTGGCCTGAGAATTGAGGGGAGATGGCCTGTCTGCAGAGATGGGGTGCTGGGGCTGCATGATTTTTGCCCTGCAGCTCTTCTCTCTGGGGTTCCTTTTCCCTCTCGTACACTCACACATAAAATCGCTTTCGAATTAAAATTGCTGTTTTCTGGACTGAGATGACTGTATTGGGGTTGCGGGGGCAGCGCTGCATCGGGCTGGCTGGGTGTTGGGAGGTGGTATCCGGTCGGGAGCTCCGGATGGGCTCCCTTGACGCCGCCGAGGTTCCCTGGGGCCTGAGAGGCGGGCACAGCGTAGGGGACACAAGGCGCGCTTTGTCGCGGAGGGGGGGAGAGGGTGTGCCAGGCTGGGGGCGGGGCCGGCCGGAGGAGGAAGGGGGGGCGGCCCGCTCTTTCAAAGGCGCCTTGTTCGCCTGCGCCCTCCTAAGCGCCAGCGGGCGGCGGCGCCTCGGCTCGCTCTGGTCTTCCCTCCGGCCGCGCCGCGGGCTCCGGGCAGACCCGGCGCCGTGCCCGTTCGTGGGGGCGCACTGGGCGCTGAACGCCACGGCCTGCTCAGGCGTTGCCCGCCTGTAGGCGGCCTCTCGTCCCCGAGTGACCCCGTTTCCCGGGGCTCTGCCAACTAGCGTCGACGGCCCCCTTCACCTCTCCACTGGGTGCCTTTTCACCTGGGCTCCCGGTCCCCTTTACATCGTCCCCCATTTTCATCTCCTTGGACTGGATTAGCCTGTTTGTGGGTCTGTCCAGTCTCTGGCCTCTCCTCTAACCACCCTCCCTCCTCGCCACCCCCTTCGCTCCCCGTGGCCGTCGAGTTGCAGGTCTCTAGTCACTATCTATAGCCTTGTCTATAAATACCCCTGCCCCAGGCCAGGCTCTGTAATTACACCGGGCGGGGCGAGGGGAAATAATTATGGAGACCCGATGGGGTGGGGGCGAGGTAGGGACCCCCAGACCCGCCTCTCCCCTCCCACTGTGCCCTAAACCCCGCCCAGGACTCTGCTGAACGGGGGTTCTGGGCCCCCAAGGAGGAGGAACGGGGGAGGGGTGTTGTGACTGGACATTTGGGTTCCCCCAAAAGAAAAAGACTGGGAAAGAGATATTGGGGTTCCCGAAAAGAGAATCCTAGGGTACAGATCATTGAGATCCCTTCAAGAAGCAGAAGCGAGTATTCCGAGGGCCAGTGAGGGAGAGTTCCCATTCACGCCCCCCCCAACCAGGTGGAGATCAAGGGTGGGGTTTCCCCTCGGTGGCTGTGGGCGGGCGCCTGGAGGCGGGGGCTGGGCCGGGGGCGGGAGCGAGGTGGGGGCTCTGGCCGCTGGGGTGGCCGGGGACACACAGGAGCGGCGGCCACCGAGGAGGGAGCAGCCCGGGCCCCCGACGGCGTCTGACTGCATGGAGCTGGGCCACTGAGAGCTGTCGCCAACCGACAGCCTCTGACTTCCCCGGGTCCCCGGCGTCGGAGCCTGATCCTTCTCTCCTGACAGCTTCGGGGCATCCAGCGCCTCCAGCTGCCCCTGGGTCCCTGGGACCTGGCGTTCGGGGCGCCAGCTATGGAGCGGTGCAGCCGCTGCCATCGTCTCCTCCTGCTAGTACCGCTGGTGCTGGGGCTGAGCGCGGCTCGGGCCTGGGCAGGTAAGGGGAATCCCAACGCCTGGGTCATCGGAATCAGGCTGGAGCTCCGAGTACCTCCGGGGCAGGGGACAGCTGATGCCTGGGGAGAGGGGAAGCTTCTGAATCCCAGACTGGCATTTGGGGAGTCAAGGATCCAGGCTGGAGAGCAGGACATCCGTGTTTCTTGGAGTCAGGGTGAGGATCTCTTTCTCTCCTTGAAGTGACTAGGGGAGGGCAGGTAAGGCTGAGAGGTGGAGGATCACCTGAGAGCTCGTCAGTGGGGCTGGATGCTGGGGTCCTCTGGCTGGGCCAAGGTGGTCCAGCCTGTGCTGGAGTCAGGGATAGATGCCAGTGTTGATGGGTGAGGGGTGCATATATGTCTTCTGGTCTTTCTGTCTGTATCTCTGGAGTAAGAGGGGAGCATCTGTGGGTCAGAGCAGAGCCTAGTAAGTAGAGAAAGAAAGGATGCCTAGACTATTTGTCCCATTGGCTTCCCTGACAGGATCCCCCCCCCCCCCCCCGCCCTCGATGCTGCCACGCGGCTGGCTCTGGGGAGCACTGGGGCTGGCTGCCAACAGGACGGCCGCTGGACAGGCCAGGATCAGGTGTCTGAGGCAGGAGCCAACTCTTTGCATTCCTACCCCACCCCTCCCCCTCAGGCCTGCCCGGCTTCCCTGGGTCCCTAGTGTCCACAACGCCAATCTTTTCTTCTTTCCCCCAGCATCTAGAAGTCCTGTCTCCTAGGAAAGGGGGTTTGACATCACCGGAGAGGAAGGGGCTGGGACTACCTATATATCAGGCAGGCCCCCCACTCCATGCTGATTTGCATATAACTTGATTATTCACTTCTTCTCTGTTCTGGGGGGAAAATGGTCAGAATAACAGCATAAAGGATTTAGATTAGATTACAGAAGGAAGAACTTTCCAGATAGGAGGAGCATGAGGCTTAGGGATAGAAAATTGAAGTGGATTGTCTGTAGATTCTAAGAGTCTTTTTTAGGGAGGAAAGGGACCCTTTAGCACTGAGGCAGGGAGACGGCTGAGATGACTGTCTCTTACTTTATGGCTGAGTGGGTAGAGGTGGGACTCTATAGGAAAATGGGTTAGTGTGGGATTCATAAGAGTAAAAAAAATGAGGTTGAATTAGTGTGGAATTCATAACAGTAGAGAATGGGGCATTTCGGGGGCCATAGGTAGAGTGGTGCAGGGGTGATAGGGCAACCAGTGGGGATACTGGGGCAGATTGAGGCCAGAGACAGTGGGCCACATATGTGGCTTGAAGAGGAAAGATGGGTGGGCAGACGTGTGGGTAGGTTGTCTATAGGATGGAACTGCACTCTCCTGGGGTTTGGTGGAGGATGGGGGCCTCTGAGGTCTCCTTGGCCTGGGGTCTCTGTGAGTCTCTGTGTCTCTGTCTCACTTACCCTTCGTCTCTCAAAGCGGCCCTTGTGTGTTGGTGTTTGCGGAGCTGCCACACGCGGGGGCCAGGCTAGGGCAGGGGGGTGGGAGGGGGCAAGGCCGTGGTTTCCCGGCTTCTGGACTCAAAGGGCCTTTTCTCTGCCTGCCCGCCCCACCTCACCCACCCCACCCAGCTCCACTCTCCTGATCACTCTGGCCCCTGCCCTGCCCGACACTTTTATGAAAGTTTTGCTGGAACTTTCTTTGGGATTTTTCCAATCTGGAGCTGATGGTGTGAGAAGTATGTGTATTGGGGGAGCAAATGAGGGAGAGGTGACCTTTGTTTTTCTGGGAGTTTGAACTCTTCGGAAGCTGAGTTCAAGGTGAATAGGGCTGATGGCCTGAGTCTTGAATCTTTGGATAGTGGGTGGTGGGGGTGGTGGGGCAGTGTTGGAGTTCCAGGTGTGGGGAGCTTGCCCGGATTTTGGGTAAAGACTCTGATGGGATCCACAGATGTGTGGCTCTAGGCCCTGGACCTGCTCCGGCTCCGCGTGGCAGCTTCAGGCTCCCCACCCGCCCCCGCCCCCCAGCCCATCTCACCAGCCAGGGGCACAGGCTCCTGGGGTGGCTCTTTCTTGTATCTCCTTCCTCTGCATGCCCAGACACTGGAACTGCAGCAGCTTGAAGCCCCATTCCCCATGAAGCCACCTCTCTGCCCCCTCCCTGATGGCCCCCCTGGACCTCCTGTGCCCAGAATGATTGTTTGCCCAGATGTTGTTTGTGCTGGAGACATGGGACAGAGGCCAGAGACCCAGACACCAGCAGATATGGAAAGGGAGTGAGAGAGGGAGAAAGACGGGGAAAGGGAAAGATGTGAGGGACACAGAGGAAGACAGGCGAGTCAGGGAGAGAGAAACACCAACAGGTATGAGACAGAGTAAGAGTGACAGAGGAAGAGAGAGAAGGGGAGATGGGTGGAGAGTTGAGAGAGAAATTAAGAGAGAAAATAGAGATTCATAGGCTGAAAGACAGAGGGAGAGGGATGGGGACAGGATGGGAGAGAGGGGCGCAGTCCTGGGCATGGAGCTGAATGCAGGGTCAGTGCTGCCCTTGGCCAGGTGTCTCTTGTTTTCCATCCATTCAGGCCCTGTTCAGGAGCAAGTCAGGGAGAGGTGACTTGTCTTCCAGGGAGGCTGAGCCCCAGGAAGCTGAGCTCTTGACCCCAAATGTCCCCTATTTGGATCCTCCTGAGAGTGTGTCCCTTCCCCTGATCCTCGTGGATTCTCCCAGGTGCACCCCCTGTGGACTTGCTTCGGGCCCTGAGGTTCCCCTCCCTCCCTGATGGTGTCCGGAAGGCGAGAGGCATCTGTCCATCTGATGTGGCCTACCGAGTGTCCCGACCTGCCCAGCTCAGTGCACCCACCCGCCAGCTCTTCCCAGGTATGGGTGACCTGCTGGAGCAGGGAGAGCTGGGGGAGGTCACCAGGTGGGGTCTGGGATCAGACACCAGAAGGGAAGGGGTTTATGGCTCGTTTTGCTTCTCACTCCACCTGTGTGTGTCTCTCTCGGGTACCAGGAGGCTTTCCCAAAGATTTCTCTTTGCTGACTGCTGTCCGGACACGCCCTGGCCTCCAGGCTCCCCTGCTGACACTCTACAGTGCCCAGGGTGTCCGACAGCTGGGCCTGGAGCTTGGCCGACCTGTCCGCTTCTTATATGAGGACCAGACCGGCCGGCCTCAACCTCCAGCTCAGCCTGTCTTCCGAGGCCTCAGCCTAGCAGATGGCAAGTAAGTCAGTTTGCTCTTCTGGTCCATCTGGCTTATTCTTTCAGGAGCTCCCCTCTGGCCCTCACCCCCAGAACCCTCACTCCTTAATCTAGGAACCCCTGCCAATTCTTTGGGCCACAACTCACCCATTGCCCAAACTTCAGTCACTTCTAGCCCCCGGTTTGGACTTTAGAGTTTAAATCCTTGCCTGTAGTACTACCTTGTGTCTTGGGTGTCTTACTTGACTTTTTTGAGTCTCGGTTTGAAAAATAGAGATGATAGAATTGTGAGAATCAAAAGATAAAATTGTTGCATGGTTTCTGGTGCATCATAAGTGCTCGATAAATGGTGGCTACTGTGATTGCTATTCTTGTTATCATTG